TGCATGGACAAACAGGAAAGCTGAAGCACAGAGCACACAAGTGCCTTGTCTGCATCCATCGCACAGAGCCACAGCAAAACCCGAAACAGATCACAAATCTCCTTATTGCTAGCCAAATGCTCTGGCCATTCGTCTACGTTGTAAGTTACACGTAAGTAAAAGGTAACCACTTTTGTAATAAAATGGGAAGGATATCAACACTCGAGGTCTAGTTCTGCTCATGCTTTTCTCCAAATCTCATACATACTATAGCATAAAATCATCCTGCCAGACTTTGTGCTGCTAGTCCAGCGAGTGAGAGCAGACCACTCCTAGCAAGTAAATAAATAAAAGCTACCAATCATAGGTGTCCCACGGAGTAATCAACCTACGTGTACAAGCATGCATGTGCATATATTGGGAGAGACCTTGGAAAAACCATACTCCAACGCTTCTCTTAGGTATGAGGATGGCAAAATGCCATTCAACAGAATAAGCAGATTTTAACCAGGTATGGCATACTGGAAAATAAGTATCACTGCTTGATAGCTCAATACTGGAGCTATGCCACTGCAGGTACGTACCATTCCCAATCCCTGCTGTCAGCTAAGACATAGAACATGAACCTGTTGGAGGGCCACAAAGATGATCAGAGGGCTGGAGCACTGCTCCTATGAGGCCAGGCTTGAAAGAGTTGGGGTTGTTCAGCCTGGAGAACACGGAGACCTTAAAGCAGCCTTCCAGTACATGAAGGAGGCCTACAAGAAAGATGGAGAGGGACTTTTTGCAAGGGCATGTAGAGATAGAACAAGGGGTAATAGCTTTAAACTGAAAGAGGGTAGATTTAGATGAGATATAAGGAAGAAATTCTTCACTGGAGCAGGCTCTATCCCATTTTTCAGTGCCTCTGCCCAAGACTGACTATCAGAGCACTTGCAAGTGGTAAAGGCACATACAGTGCAACTTAAATGGAACAGCGTCACCTTTTAAAAATGTACTTAAATCACACACATACACAGGAACCCTCTGAAAGGCCCCACATATATGGTACGTAAGTATTCTTGACATAAGCATTAGACTCATTATTTTGCTTTCAGTAAACTTTAAATTACTTTTGTCCTGGTTAAAAGAGCTACTAAGAACATGGGAAATCATAACTTTATGGGTATCTTCTTAGTGGATATCAGATCTTACTGCAACATTTCATCAGAGATCATTAAGATATGATTAAATGCTTCAGGGAAGACCTTACCTGATAAATGCTGCTGCCTTGGATGCCAGAAACTACAGCAGAACCTTTTAGCTACTGTAATAACAGGAGCTATTTCTCCTAGCCGTGAACAGATTGTCTCCAGTCACAGTGAAGTGGGCTGTAAAACTCTTACCTTCTCCCTTTAAACACTAAGGACAATTTTCCTCCTGTTTCATCAGGCAGCAAAAGCAATCATCTCCTTAAGCAGCAGCAACTGACACCTATTTACCAGGTAATTGCTGCAGTTAAAGGGGATTAAGCACACTGAACTCTCTCTTGGTGATAAGGCAAAGCCACCCCCTCCCATCTTCAGTGTTTCCCAGATGCACCTGAGAAGAGGTCAGAGGAGAGGGTGGCCACCCCAGCGTGCCAAACTGGGGGCACAAATGCTAACTGCAGCCTCTCAGGCTTAGTTGCAGTCGGTACAATAAAAAAGATGTGTACCCCCAGTGCAACCACAGCAGTAACTGTGCCAGGCCTGACCCACGCTCAGCGGCCACGGTAGCAGGAGATGCAGAAAAGCACACCAGCATCTGTCCCACCCACAGCTGCACTCCCCAGCTGGGAAGGGGCTCGGCCGAAGACAAGAGCAGCGAGCTGCGGGCTCACCACGGAGCTCGCTTGCCTTTAAGAGAGCAGCGTGAACAGCACAAGGTGGGGAATACAAGAAAAATACAAGAGCAGTGAAGACCTGAGTGGAACAGAGCCATGGGAGCATAAATGAAATGCTAATAACAAGAAGCAGTACAGAAACCAAACAGGCTAAATCCAGCTAACTTCCAACTTCTGTTGGGAAATCATGCTTACGCTGCTACACCAGGCAAATTTGTACAGGTCAGTGGTTTGACCTGTGCCTTTGCAGAAGCATCCCATCTTGGACACTAAATACTCACAAACATAAGAGCTGCTCCCCAACTTGTGTTCAGCACATTTACCTCAGGCAAACCTAATGGGAAGGTGGCTTCTCCCACACAAGTCTGAAATACTGGTGAGGAAAACCACCAAGAAAGGAAGTAACAGCGTGGGCTTGCCAGGGGTAGGCTATCAGGAGGATTCCCCTAATATCCCGTGGTCTGTCAGAAGAATGCTATGAAGTTAATTTTAACAAGTTCTGCTATCCCTTTGCTTTTATTAATGCTAGTAAATTTTTGTTTGTTTTCTGTATGGTACCACTTACCTTTTTTTTCCTTTTTAAACATGACATTTTAAAATCACACTATTTGCTGACACAAAAAAAGCACTTTGGAGATTGATTCTTATCCCAGCACTTCCAATTCCACATTGTGCCATGGTTAAGAGAAAAACGTGACACTCAAAACTTTGCACTGTTTAAATGTTATTTTATTAAATATCTTCAGTTCAAGGTTTCATTGTAACAAAGCTATGAAGGTTCTACCAACATTCAGACCAAACAAACAAACACTAGCTAACTTTAATTATTTCTATGTCATGCAAAAATTCTGCATCAAATGCCTTCCATTTCCTGTTTAAAATGTGATATTTATAATATATATTATATAGATGCTTATATTAGCCCCATAAGAGAACATTAAGAACGCTAAAGGTGTACAGCTGTGTTTGATAATGGCCATACCAAGCTAGGGTTCTCATTAATTTAAAAGGAAACAAAACAAACAAACAAAAAAAAACCCCAAAAGAGAGTTTGTCTCCAAGACTGTGCAAAACCAAAAAACCCAACATTTCTGTTCTTTTAAAATTTTCTCTGAAAGATGCAGGTACTTAATACAGAGGGTTTTCTTTTTGATTATTAATAATCATCAGGTAAAGAGACAAGGAAGATCAGACCTAAAGAAGGCATGCATAATGTTTTGTATTTATCTTTTTTAAAATGGCATAATTGTAATCTCCTGTTTGCTCTCTCTTTGTGGCTTTAAAAAAAATCTGAATAAAATATCAAGGCTTTTCACTTTTCCACTTCACTCATTGGCTTAGTGCTGTCTTAAAAATATCTGGAATAATAGCATCTAGTGTTCAACCCCATGGGTTCAACCCCTGCACTCCTCCCTGGGGTGGTGGAGAGAGCAAGAAAAGGGCATTTGCTCAGAAAAACCAGGGAAGTGTGGATGGTCTTTTCCTTCATCAGGGGTTAGCTGATCCAATCCTGGTGTGGGATAGCACCTCTCTGCCAGAGGGAGCAGAGAGCTATCTGCTGCACAGCGACAGCTCCAGTTTGTGCAACAACTTTTATTTTCTGCATTCTGCTACATAAGGGGTAGAATTCCAAATTGGCTTTCTTCTCTTCCGGAGTCTGCAGAAAGGTTGCCTCACAGTTAGTATGCTGTCAATGCAACCACTTTAACTCATTAGGGGTAGACAGAAATTCAGGTAAAAGCCCACCCCAGCTTCTGCAAGCGATGCCTTCCCTTGGTCAAGGACAAATCCTATCGGGTCTGCCAGAAAGGCCATTTTCTTCTTGGGGCTAGGCTCTCTCCCTGGTAAGGTCAACAAAACACTTCCACGTTCCCCACGCAGTGAATAAAGGAAATGGACTCCTTTTGCAGCAAAATAAAAGAAAGGAAGATGAATTGGCCCAAAGGACAAACATCAGATCACATGTGCTAGTTCCCTTTCCCCTCTGCTTCATGAGGTATCCTCTAACACCCAGAGGCAACACAGGGAGGTGGCCTGGAGTCCTCCTTCACTACGGTTTTTGAGGTTCTGATCTGAGTTTTCTGTGTTACAACATCACTGTAAAAAATAGAAAAATTACCCAAATAAACACTAGGAAACATGACACTTACAAACATCAGATGGGTCAGTGGCGGGGAGAAGCACCTGGCTGGGGCCGCTGGCTCCCACTGCTATTTCACTCGGAGACCAAACAAATCAAACAGGAGACCAGGTAACCCCTTTAACTCTATGGGTGCATATATTTCAGTATAAAAAACACACGCTATTTATGCCTCGTATAGGAGTGTATGTGCAAGTTTTCATGAAGAAACATAACACTAAGGTTTTTGTCTGCTTCCTAAGGAACACGTGTTCTGCAGCACTGTGGATCCCAACTATGCTACTAGAAAGGAAAAAAAAAATAGAAAATCCCATACATGTTTTTTCTCTGAAATCTCTGCTCTTAATGCAATGTTTGCTTTGCTTTGTTAAATTAAATAAGCTGGCTTCAAACCTCCATGTTTGGCCAGGTACTGGCTGTTTCCAAAACCAGTATTTCTGAAGAGCAGGCTTCTATTTAAGTTATATTTACTTAAACCCATTTTTTTAAATCCTTACTTCCACCTTTAGTTTTTTTTTTTAAATCAACATCCCATTTTGCTATTTTCCATTTAGAAAAAAAAAAAAGAAAAAAGGTCTGTTTTGGGATCCAGCAGCCGAGCAACCAGCTTTCCATAGCGTTCTTGCTGTGAAGACATCAAAGAAGAAACTCAGGCTGGAGTCAGTCTGCCGGGCAACTGGAAGAGAAGCGCCTTCTCTCTCTTGAACCCCAGTCCTCACACTGGCTCCTCTGGGGTCTCCTCGCCCCCTCACACCGATCCAAACTGCAGCACAGCCCGAATGTGATGTTAACTTCCACCATGGCTTTGCGGAGCACAGTTCAGCCATCCGCTGCTCAAGCCGCCTCCTCTTTTGCTCTCCCTCTCTCTTTCTCTCTCCTTCACTTTTGCTTTCCCCTTCACTTCATTTCTGAAAGATGTTCCAGCTGCTGCCATTTTCGTAGCCCTGGGGGAGGGGGCATGTTGGATAATCTGTCATTTATTTAACATTATTCCTGTTTTGTATTATTTTATACAAATTTAGATTTAAAAACACCTTCGTACAGCAGAAACAGACACGATGGATCCATGGAAAACAACAGAAAGGCAGCGCCTGGAGCATCAGATGCATGCAGGGTTTCGTGCATTTGGCTGCTGCCTGTTTGTAATTTGTATTTATTTTTTTTAACGTCAAAACAGACATGACCGTTGCTGTCACTCAGGCACTCCAGAGCTGCTTGCTAAGAAGATATTGCCCTCCAGCTGAGTATCTCCACAAGTTGCTGCAGTCAGGAACAGGTAGTGTCCACCCAGAAAGGACAGGGGAGAACAGGATGGAAGATGGAAGGAAATAAAGCCAAATATTAGCTGTACATAATTAATACAACATGATTTCTACAGGCTAATAGTTTGGTGCAGGCAGAAACCCTTCCTAACACAACCCAGACCGGGTCTCATGAGGAGAGCCCTGAAGACAAGAGGCACGCACTTTCCCTTCCAGGTGGCTGAGCATGCCAATGACAATGAAGTACTTGCTAAAATGAATTACCTGCTTGATTGGAGCAGGCCTGGGCCCACTGTCTAATGGTGACAACCCAGAAGCTGAAGAAGCTTCCCAAGGGGTGATCAATGGCTCTGGCCCTAAGGAACAGTTTCTGCCTCACTTCCCACTGGCTTTTGCCTTGAACTGAAACGTTCTTTTATTTTCTTTCCCTCCCCTTTTCTAAGTCTTCAGCAATTTTGTCGCTGAATGTTCTTGGTATTTAAACAAATTTATGAGCTTTTCTGAAGATCTGCAAAGTTGTAGCCCTACTGACTGCTTTTAGCAAAGCCTCCTCCTGGCTAATCTTGTGCCAAATTACTGTATTTATTTTGATCAGTTTTAAGTTTGTTGTTTGTTTTTAAATGTTTGTTTAGCATTGTCCTGCCATGAAAATGTAGCCAAAAAAATCTTTCTACCATTTCTTAGTTTGCAAATCTTTGTCGCAAACTCTCTTATCAGTCTTCTCCCTTCTCAGTTCCTACTCTCTCCTTACATTCAAGTTCTCTGATTAACCTCAAACTTCTTCTAAGGCTGCAGTTTCTTTTTAAGATGACTTACCCAACATTGAAGTCTGCCTTCCAGGTGAAAACAAACCACTGATTTCTATTTAAGCACTCTTATTCACCTCATTCTTTCTTCATGCCCACCCTTCACTCTATGTGGGCCAACACTACTCCAAAATGATTTAGTGTGTTCAGATTGGGGCTGCCCACATTGACCCTACTCGTAATTGCGCATGGTTACACCTCTTTCAGAGCCCAGAAATCCATGCAAATATTTCAACTTCAATTTAGTTTATAGGTGTTTTAAAATATTTTTTTAACCAACATTTTGTGGTTTGGAAATGGATTCTGCTCTGCAGCTCGCAGAAACCCTCCAGCACATACTTTCGGAGAAGGTACAACAATTCAGCAGCCAAGCCGAGGAAGCATTACCACTTCTGCAGCAGCTGGGACTCTCCATTCCTAAGCTTCCTCAGAGCTCCTTGGCACAGCCACTGAGCCATACCAATCTTTAATTTAATAATTTCTTCTCTTTTTTGGACTAAATCCAGAACAGAAGTCTCCCTCAACATCTCTGTGATGAAAACAGATGCAAGTAATTTATTTTTTGTTTTCTTACAAAGGCTTTATCCTTCTCACTGCCTTACTCCCTAGAAATTCAGCCGATTGTCCAGCTCTCTTGAAAGCTTCCCTGCTTCTGGTGCCCCCAACTGGCTTTTGCTTTTCAAACTCCACCTGTGATCTCTGCAGTTTGCTTGCAATAGTTCACATTCCTTTCCATTGCCCTCAGTAGGGTTGAGTCCTTCACAACACATAATAGTAAAAACTGCGCTTGGCTTACTCCCCAGTAATACACAGGACTGGACTGAAGGAGTAACTATACTTG